GAGGCAGGAGGATCACCTGAGCCCAGGAGTTTGAGGTTGCTGTGAGCTAGGCTGATGCCATGGCACTCTAGCCTGGGCAACAGAGTGAGACTCTGTCTCAAAAAAACAAAACAAAACAAAACAAAAAACAATTTGAAGTGAAACTTACAATGATGCTTAAGAAGGCTTTCATAAAATTAGAAAACCCTGTTCATAACACTCAGGAGACTGGGTGCAAAACATCAATTTATTTTTAACTTTCAGCTAGCTTTATTTTACCATATGCTTCCTTTTTCTATCACTAAAAAGTGAAACTTCAACACAGACCAACCAAAACAGTAAGTACTTATTACGACCTTGTTATAAGTTTATTTATTTAGCATTCTTAGCTATTGCACACAATGTAGAAGTTCCATTTTTTAAATAAAAAATCTTGATTGTAAAGAAAAATGATTTGCCAAAAGAAAAGTTTTTCTTGATTTTTTCAAACTGTAAGATAGCAAATTCCCAAAGCAGAATGTGAATCAATGAAAATACATGAACAAAGGACATAAGTCTTCTTACATGTCAGGTTAACACAATAGTAAAAACAGATCAGGAGTAACTCAAAGGATCCACTAATGAACACAACTGCAATTAAGAGCCTGTTTGAATTATAACATCTGCTTTTTCTAAATTATGACTGAAATATATGCTTAGCATTTTGTTCTTCTAGCAATTTCCAAACTCCAAAATTTGGAAAACATGAACCTCCTAATCAACAAAAATGGCAATACTGAAAAATAGTCTTTAACAGGATGTAATGGCCTCTATTTCTTCAAAAATTGAATGTGGAAATAAACAGCATAAGAAAGGGATGTGAGGTTAGGACAGTGGTGCAACCTTTTAGACAGACAAAAGAAGGTAAACACAAGAGAATCCATGAATATTCTTAATGTTTCAAAAAGCCTTAACTAAGTTTGTATGTTTAACACTAAAAAGGCTGCACTGGCAAACTAAAACATTTGTTTCTTTGCTTTTGGGTGAAATTGTATCACTTTGGTGTAGCAACATTAGCTTTCTCAGGTTAATCAAAAGTTCCTATTGAAACTTAAAAGTGTGGCTAATACAAAAATGGAAAAAAGATTACTTAAGCACTTTATCTGGGATACAAAGTAATTCTAATCACAGCGGGGTAGGGGAAGAGTAGAAATTAAAAAGGGACCTAGGAAAAGGATAGGAGGAACTTAAAAGAAGGGAACTCAACTCAGGTGCTTAAAAAATATATAAACAGGTTTGGAATCACTGAATTAGATCTGCTTTATGTCAGTGATTACTTGAGACTATTTTGGTGTGAAGGTTGTATCCACTGGTATCTTAAACTCTTCCCCTGTGATTTGAAGGATGGAAATGACAACTACCCTCATTTTCTCCAATCCTGAAAGCTAAGGACAGAGAAAAGTACAGATCCTTCTCCGAGAAACAAAGATGCTTTCTACCATACTTCTAAGATGGTGGAAGAGTCTCTTCAAGAGGCTTCACCAAGGAGGAAAAAATGAAAGATGGCAAGAAGAAAGCCATAGCAGAATTCTCCGGCTGTGTTTCATGCCATTGCTCCTAGTCACATTCCCTGTGCAACCACTCAGCTTCGGCCATCTCCATCCAGGGAGGTTAAGCCCTCTCAGGGCATTGTTCGGCCGGGGTCCCTATTTACCACTCAGATCGCCTCCACCATCCCTACGCTAGGGTCTCGGGAAGCCCCAGAGCAGAAAGCAGAAAGCTGAAAGCTAGGAGAGGACTTGGTTTCCAGGACCTCTTCCAAACCCTCTCCTACTAACTGGTGTTGGAAAGAGAGACTAGCCTTTGCTTGGGTGGGTTCCTTAGGGGTCAGAGGCGTCCCCCCAGCCACTGTCGAAGGAAGGTGGCCATTTGAGCCGGTCGCTCCGCATCAAAAAAGCCCTGCCAGAGAGAGGGGCCTCCTCAGGCCCCGGGTTCTGTCCGAGTGTCAGGTGCGGCCCTCAGTTCCCAACCCTCCGGGCACCGGCAGCGACAGCACACAGGCCGCCGGGCTCAGACTGGTCTCCCGCCCGACCGCCGGGACCAGGCACCCGGGCTGGGGCCCGAGCTGCATGGTGCCCGCCCCCGCCCTACCTGAGGGGGCCCGGGCGGGGTCGCTAAGGGCCACTCCCGGGAGCCCCGCGACGGCGCGGCTCGGCGACGGAGGCGCCTCGTCTCGCCGGGGCAGCGCTCGGCGGCGGTTTCACGACCTCAAACTCCATCGGGAGCTACAGGGACAGCCCCGTTGGCGGCGGCGAAGGCCGCGACGGGGCCTCCTCCTCCTCCTCCCTCCGCCGCCTCCTCCTCCTCCTCCTCCTCACCACGGAGGCGGACCTGGAGGAATCCCGACCTAGCTCTCGCGATAAGATACTCCCCACTTCACGCGAGATTACGCAAGCCCGGGAGTTGGAGGTGGAAGGGAAGCGTAGTAGCCCTCGCCACCTAAAGTGCGCTTTCCTTCCTTTTTACCGAGCAGAGCCACCCCTATCACGTGACGGGGAACCCCGGAGCACTGTGGGAGGTGCTTGAGGCAGACTAGGCAAGCCGAAGGGGTTGATGGGAAACTCCCTGCACATTCATCTATCTGCACCTTAAGCCAGCTTTCTGGACACTGGTTTGAACCAGTGTCTGACTATCGTGAAAAGCATGATAGCCATTGACTAGAAACTGATCCATCTGTGTCACATTCTACTTAACTCTCCTGTATCGACATGCAAACCAGATTTTTCAATCTCTCCATGTAGGTACCAAGTGATCTCCCAACTAAAAAAACAAAAACAAAAATGAAAGCATTTATTTGGCAGGCACTTTCACATATTTCTTTCTTAAAGAGAAAACTCTGAGCTCCTCAGAAGCTGGCAAGGATCAAAATTTAAGAACAAATTCTGGCATCAAATCTCAAATATTTGTTGAAAGATTTTTCACAGTAAACTGTAAGTTAGGAATTATTCTGTTTTTATGGATGAAGAAACACTGTTAATAGGGTAAGAGAATTAACATTTATCAACTACTTTGTGCTGCATCCTGTCAGCTGGTATTCATTTCAATGTTATTTTTTAGTGTTATTTATATTTCATTTACTTATCAAAGTAACCCTAAAAGGCAGAGACTATGTAGTCTTTGTTATGATGAGAAACTGAAGAACACAGGTAAGAAGATGACCATGACTTGTAATTAAACTCCTGGCACTTTCCAATGTGAAATCAGATACCCAACAAAAAGATCTATGGTAGTAAACCCACCATGAATTAGAAAAAATATGGAAACATTGCTTATAAACTATAATGAGCTTTAGAAAATATGCTTATTACCGCCTGGATGACAGGAAATGACCAGTGGTTTGGGGAAAAGGCTTATTAGCCCCATAAAGCTTTTTTTTTTTTTTTTTTTGAGTCAGGGTCTCACTGTCGCCCAGATTGTAGTGCAGTGGCACCATCATAACTCACTGCAGCACTGAACTCCTGGGCTCAAGCAATCTTCTCACCTCAACTTCCCAAAGTGCTGGGATTACAGGCATGAGCCACCACACCCAGCCAAATACTTTTCTTACATGCAGTATTATTCCTTTCATTCTTTTCCCTCTACGAAATATATGCCAATCCAAGAAAAATGTTCCCAACATTTTATACACACACATATATATGATAATAACATTTTTCAAAGGTGGCCTGATCACCATTTTTAAAATTATAATCCCATCCCTTTCCCTGCCAATCCTTATCCCTGCTTTATTTTTCTCCAACCCATCTTAAAATCTGACATACATTGATTTTTACTTACTTGTTTACTGTTTCTCTCCCTTCACTAGAATATAAGTTCAAGAGAGCAGGGATTTTTGTCTATATACCTAAATTCTAGTACAGGTATGTACTGAAAGGACTCAGAAAACATTTTCTGGATGAATGGTTAAATGAATAGCCAGGAGAAACTGTATCCTTTAAAATTCACAGATGTAGGCAAAACACAAAGCTCTCCATTCCCACCTCCAGTTTATTATTTCTTATGTAAACATGTAAGATAGTTACATCCCACAAAAAGGGTAAGGATTTTCTCTTACAACAAACCAACAACTACCTTTTCAAGGTCTTTTATACATAAATGCAGTAAATTAAGAGGCTGAATTCAACCACTGCATTTTTGTGTCCTATCAGAAACACAAACAACTAAAAGTGAATATTTTAAATGAATAAATTCTACACTTTACTTTGTCATACCTGCACTTTTAAAAAGATTCCATTTTCATGAAGTTTTACTGACACATCATGCAAACAGATACTCTCCTAGGAATGTTTTGAGATCACTCTGTGCTACTGAACAGGAATAAATAAAATAAATTATAACCATCACTTTCACACAAAACACCCCTACCCCCAGCAAAAATCTCAAAGTGCTCACAAAAAATTTTTACAACAATCTTACAAGGCACACATAAAACTTAAACATGGTTTCAACCAAACTGATTTTCAAACATCCAAGATAGTAGATACCAATTCCTAAAAAATCAGTTTATTACCATTTTTTTACCCTCTCCTTCTATGCACATTCCCCCCACCCCCTGTTTCATCCTAGGAAGCAAAAATAAGAAAAGTACTTCAATCACAAGTAAACTATTTCTGAAAAGAAAATATTTTCTCACCTACAAATGGCCAATCTTATGTCAAGTGGGAAAGAAAATTAAGCACTGAGCTATATTTTCCAGTGGGTACAAACCCACTATTTATTAATACTTTAGAAAAATTCTGTCTCCAATCGAGTACTCAAATAACAAAGTTCATGAAGACACAAAACTCTCTTCTTTTGCTTTCCCCTCTTCTCTGTTCTCAGGAAGAATTAAATATAAAATTAGAATTTTAGACCTGGAAATGATCTTACAAATGATCAAGATCAAAGTTATTTTACATATAAATTTTTTAAAAAGTTCAAGGAGAGGAGACTTGCCCAATGTCACTAACTAGTAACCTGGGTTATAAAGTTGGTTTTCTCATTAAATATGATTATCTGGATATTCTTCAAAGTCTCCATCAGAGTTAAAATTCTATGGAGAATATCTTTCACACAAAAGTATCACAAAAAGGATATTTAACATTTATAATAATGAGCATGTGATTCTTCACAAAATTCTTATAAATGGTACAAAGTATATTACATTTTAAAATATGGAAGGGCTTCAATAGAAATTAAGTACAGTAGAAATTCTACATAAAGCTAAGGTAAGCACAGGAGTAATAGAACAGCTTGAAAGTAAGATGCATCCAGTTAGGCTTCTTTACTAAAAGCAGTTCCTGTGTTTTAGAGAATATGATTTGCCCTGCAATATATTTTAATCTTTGTTATGACAGTAAAACACAAAAGCTTTGTATTATGTGTAGACAGGGATACTAGAGAGCTATGGCTCAGAACACAATCTGAAATAGTAATATTATTCTCACTAAAATAATCATACAAGTATGGTTTTGCTTTTGGCACTTTTCTGGAAATACAGAACAAAACTCTAGGGATGGTTAAGATTTTTGTCAACACAAAGTGAATGAAAATTGCATTAATGAAAATGGAAAAATTTAACTGATTACATTAAGAGCTACCTATATTGAAATTATCCATCCAATGATCACTATAACTAATATATACTGTCAATTTAAAATTAAAAAGGGAATGAACTATTGATACATAATATATGGATGAACCTCAAAGGCTTTCATGCTGGGTGAAAAAAGCATCTCAAAAGGAAATATACTATAAGATTCTATTTATATGACACTCCAGAAAAGACAAAATTATAGGGGTGGAGAACTGTTGTCAGAGTTTAGAGCCAGGATGGGCTGACTACAAAGAGGCAGCCTGAAAGAGTCATTGAGGGTAATGGAACTGTTCTGTATCCTGATTGCAGTGGTGGTACACAAATCTATACATGTGCTAAAACTCATAGAACTATACACCAAAAAGAAATTTCAACGTTACGCCTAAAAAATAAAATAAAGAGAAACTTTTAAAAGGAAATAGTAGAACAAATATCTTTGGTAACGTTAGAATTTCTAAGAAAACTAATTTTTTCACAGCTTCATGCCAATGGTATAATTTTACTGGCCACATTATTAAATGCAACTATATTAAATAAAATCAAGACACTTGGGCCCAATTAATCATTTCTAAAATATATCTATTAATAACACCTGGAAATAAAATACTTTAAGGAATACTAACTGAATATAAAGACATTCTGCTACCTTCAAGTGAAACTGAATTGATGTTTTACAGTTTAAAACAAAAGGTACCTTGGTGTTTAGTTTTAGAATCTAAGAGCAGTTGGTTAAAAGTTAAAAAAAAAACAGTTAGTTCCATCTGTTCTAGTGACTAGTAACAGGTAATAATGTTTTCACATTTACTTTTTCTTCCTATTATCTAAATTCACTGAAGTTGTTATATGGTTGGATTTTACACTTAAATCAATTACCTAGAGATTCCAAATAAAAATCTGCAAATACTGCTGGATACTCAATCACTAGAATCTAGAATGTATAAGAGAGGAACACTATTTCTCTAGCTATACCACTGGGACTTACATATAACCTATGAGATGAGACAGAATCCCATCGGCTTTTTATCACGCCTCTCACAACTTTGGAACTGTTAGAAGCTCAGAAAGAATATGTGTAGGCAAGAACAAAAATAAAGATGGAAGGGAATGCAATATTACAAATGTTGATTTCTATAAAAGACTTGCCTAATAGAATGATATAAGGTTTGTATAGCAAGTCTGTGATTCTAATTATAGTAGATTTTGCCTTTTGAGATCAGGCCTAGATAGTTTTTCACCACTGCTTCTGCCATGGACAGAAGTTAAGTGCTTTTTGAGAGCAGACTTGTGCTTGAAATCCATATCACAACAATGGCATTTGTATGGCCGATCCCCACTGTGTATGTTCAAGTGGTCCTGAAGAGTGCTTTTAGCAGTAAATGTCTTCAAGCACACAGTACACTGAAAGGGCCGTATGCCCATGTGTCCTCGAATGTGCCGGTTGAGATTTTTCTTCTGTGTGAATGTTTTCCCGCACTGTAAGCACAAGAACAGTTTATGCATCTTAAGGTGGCGCAGATAGTTTTCAACATGAAGAAAACCTCGAGGACACCTGGGGCACTGGTGCCTCAGTGAATAACTTTCCTCCAGATTCTGAATTTCATTCACTGTACTGTAACTTCCTTCAGTATTCTCACAAAATATGCCCTGACCTTGATTCCCAGGAACTTCTGTCACTCTGCTCTCAACTGTAGAATTGATCAATGAATGCTGTGTTTCAGAGAAATACATGCTGGCTTTTGAAGAGGTACAAGGCTGTGAAAACTGCCCATTTTCTACACCAGCTGTAGTGATAGATTCTACATGGAGGATACAAATTTCATTGTCTTTAAAACCTATATCTACTGTAGACAGCTCTGGTGACTTCGTTTCCTTTCTCTCTGATGTCAAGCTCTCTACAGTAGACTGTAAAGCATTGCTTTCCTCTTCTTTAACATGGAAATCTATGTTTACAGGACTATCTTCCAAAATTTCAATTATCTCACAGTCTTTATCAGAATTTTCTTCTTCATTCTTAACATCTGGATCAGAAGATTGACACAGGTCAGTGTGTTGGTTATTGTTTTTCATAGAAAGATCTATTTCCAGATACTTTGACAAAGCTTCTGTACACTTTTCCACAATGTGAACCATCTGAAGATAACTGGCAGCAGTCAAATATTTCAAAAGCTCTTTCCTTTTAACTTCAAGTGCTCCAGTATAGCAAGAGAGTAATAATTTCCTGCCAACTTCTGCACTCTGCAAAATGGTGATTCTGACATGTTTTGACTGTGTAAGTAAAAATTGATCTCTCATAAAAGTGGAGCAAGCAGCCAAAATCACCTTGTGCCCCTGGAACTCAGTGTCATTAATATAAATTGATACATCACAAAATAAATTCTGCTGCCTCAAGAGATTCATTTTCTGCAAGACCACATCTCCTTGCTGTTCAAATTGGAAGTGCAGAACATCAGATTCAGCAGCCATGGTCACAATCTAAGCAAAATAAAATACAAACATTAATGTAAGGATTACATGGGAATGCTTTCTCATGTCATAATACTGAAAACGAATTAAGGAACCAAAAAACCCCAAACCTGAATTGGGAAAAAGACGACCCCAATTCTAATCTGGGTTCTAAGAGTACCCCTATGCCACCATCTCAAGATCCAGAAAATTATAACGCATTTCTTTCTCTATGATCCCACAGCACATTTTTCATTTTTGTTACAGCACATGTTACGTTGAATTGTAGTGAACAGTTTCTATGCTTGTCTCTTTGGCTAAATTTGTGTGGCTTGTGGTCAAGAACACTCCATGAATTTTGAATATCCAGTAACAAGCACAGTGATCACCACAAAGATTTAACAAAATATCCCCAGTTAGAAACCTTTATGTAATCTCCAAACTTCCTACTCCTACCACTACAACAGGTCCTCATTCCTGTTCACCTGGACCACTGCAATGTCTTCCAACAGGTCCCCTTGATACCACACTTTCCTATATTCCAACTACCCTCCTGAGTGCCACCAGAATGAATATCCTTTAAAAGTTACTTAAAAAACAAAACAAAAATCCCCTCTCTTCTGTTTTAAATCCTCCATTGCTCTCCTCTACTTCCAGGACAGCCTAATGTTCTCAGTAAATAACACGAGATCCATCACGATTTAGACCTAACCTAACTTTATAGCTTTATCTCCTTCTGGTCTCTTTTTTATACACGAAGCTTCCTCAATATTAAAAATTTCATCATTGCCTAGACGAAAAGACACGAACACACACCTTTGCACATCTCTTACACTCGCGCTTCCAGTTCCTTTTTCCTTTAGTGAAAATTCCTTTAGAGATTTGGCTCCTTTAAGCCCAAATCAAATAAGACTAATACATGACTCCTCCTCCCGTCTCCCGGAGTGTCCGTTGCTCCTTGAGCACCGCGAGATGGGGCCTGACTCATCTGTGTTCCCACACCGAGCACAGGGGCCCACACCAGCCGAAGGAACTTAGGGAACATCTGTTGAACTGAAAGCGGACCCCAGGTGGCTGGAATATCCCTCCAGCTCGGCACACAGGTTTTCCCGAGCCAAGCCAGCCAAGGGACAAGGCTCCGTCGGCCAAATGGTTGCAGCACGACATTACCCACTCCGGGTCCGCACCCAGCAGCCCTCCTTGTCTTCCTCAGGCCTCCCCACCTGCCAAATCACCTTCGCTTTCACTTACCGACTCAGAAAACTAGAGTGAAGGCTTCCGCGGCAGCGGCGGCCCAGGCCGGAAGATGGACTTAGCCTGGGAGGAAACACATCCGGTGTCAACCAGCTTTATTCTTAACTGGGGCCAACTGGGCGCCCCGGAAGGACATTTTGAGACGGTCTCCCTTCCTTATTTTCCCCGCACCTGGAATGACAGAAAGGCGCCGGAACACTGGCAACCCCAGTCTCTCTTGTCCCAGTTTCAGCACTAGCAATTTCCCCTTCGTGAGCCGTCCTGAACATCCGAATTGGAGACGTGGCGTGAAGTTAGGTTACGGCACGTCTGTCAGAATACCCTCCGCTGGGACCGTTGTAAAACCTTAGGGATTATTACGGGGCGGTCCTCTCTTTATTGGCACCACCCACAACTTTGAAAAGTGACAAAGGAGAGACTACCATAGCGGTCTGTATTCGGGATTACCTAGCTAGTGCCCCATCAAGATCTGGCCCCAACCTCTGCGTCTAGCTGCACTCAATCCACTCCACCCTCCTCAAAACATTGGCCCAGCTGTATCCTCTAACATGTCCTAACCTCCTTCCCACTTATCTTTTATAAAAACCCGTTTATAGATCACATCATTCCTGAAGCCATCCTGAACTGGCCCTTAAATTAGCTGGCTCCCACTTGGAAACCTATAATCTGTTTGCGCCTGCCTTCATTATCACATTTATTATAACTGTATTAAAATTATTTGTGTCCCATCTAGGCATAAGTATTTGGGACAGCAGCTTACTAATCTTTGCATTCCTGAAGTCTAGCACTTAGTAGACATCAAGTATTTGCAGAATGGAGGGATGTCTGAACCAATTCTTAAAAGCAGTTGCTCTACTCCCTCAGTCAACAGGTTCTCCTGGAAGTAACTGACTCTAAAGCCAACTAATTTCTGGTTAATCCATATTTGCTTCTGAAGGCAAGCTGATTAATACGTATTATAAAGAATAGAAACGAAGAAGGCATTCCTGGATTCATATTCAAGCCATTGAAAAAGGAAAGCAGGAGGGGAGAGAGCGAGAAAATAAACCACTGACTGCAGAGCTTTATTTGTCATACTTTTATTAAGGAAACTTCCCCATAATAAGTGAAGAGGTAGTTCGTAGTATGTCTAACATACAACAGATTTAGCACAGCTATTCATGAGCTGAAATAAAATGTTCTGGCTTGTTTAGGACAATATGTTAGAAGCAGTGACACTGGTCACCTTCCATTTATAGATCTTCTAATAAACTAAAACAAATTAAAATCACATCTGATTTACCTTCAGAGCCACTTCAGTTTAGAGTTTGTCTTTAAAATTAAATAATAAATAAATAACTGTGACACAGTAATTTTTTCAAAAATCAAACTATGGTAAAGAGAGTCCTCTCTCCTTTTTAGTTATCCTGGGGATCCATAAAATACAAATGCTGAATGAGTAAGGTTTTAAGAATCTTCTTCCTAAACAGGAATATGACTAGTTTTGAAAGCCATCTTATTCTATAAAATGTACTTGATATTAGTAACTTGACCTCTTTGCCATATAATCTTAACAAATACGTATAAGCAAAGGAGAAAAGTCAAGTTTCACCAAAAGTAGAAAATGTCTCACAGAAACAGAACACTTCTCCAGCCAAGAAATGGAGACTGTAAATCACTTCAGTGGTTTGCGTTTGCAAAAGGTGAGAACTAAGTTTTACTGATACAAAACCATTAAGATGCTAATTTTAAGTGATCAAAGAAAGCAAGGCAGTTTTCTTTATTATTCCTAGTATAAAAACAAATTGAGACCTTGTTTCACTAAAACCACATGAGACTATAAGCTTCATGAGGGCACGGACTGTATCAATCTTACCTTTATATCCTAGTATCTAGTATAGTGTCTGGCAACAGTAGGTCCTTATAATAATGTTTCTTGAATAACTGAATGAACCCAGAAATAGTCTCCAACCAAAGAGACCAATCTTACTTGAACCCATGCCTTTTAGTCTTCAAAACAATAATAAAAAACAGGACATGCATATGAGCAAAGGAAGCACTCCACCTTAAAATTTCCCCATGAAGAAATGATGTTCAGAGAAAATACCAAAAACGTTGGTTGGTTGACAAGGTAGAGTTTCACTGTTGCATAGAATTGGTACTCTTTGGCTGGATCATATAAAAATTACAATGCTAGGAAGCATCATTAAACAATATAATGAGTGTAATTAGGCATGAGATATCTACTGGTCTTACCACTCAACTATATTGTCATTTTAAATATTTGAACAAAAGACAAATTATACCTCAAATCTGACTCACATAATAATTTGCATGGGATGACAATGATACATGTAAATGTATCAAATTATAACAATTTAAGAATTCCCTGACTATACAAATTAAGCCTAATTTTTGGATTATCTGTACAAGCACTCATAGCTCAAAAATAAAAACAGAAAATCCTGATGGTACCTAATAAACACTGTTTTCCATACAAAATCAATTTCACAGTTGGATCCTTCCCACATTATTCTTACTTGTCCTTTCCCTCCCTAACCAACACCTAGCAAATCAGTTACTTGCTTGGGAATAATATAATACTCATCTAACTAAAAATTAATTACTAACGTAAATTCCTCTGTAATATTTTGTTGACAAAAGCCAGGCTGTCTCAGAAAGCCAACAGGGAAACATAAAGGCAAAACACAAACTGGAAACTTTTTGCTAATGTGTTATTCTTAATCATGTGCTAAATCTTTTTAAGCAAAGGAATAGGGAGAAGAAGTAAGAAGACATTAGCTCACAGTCACTATTTATCCTTGGCCAGTCTTGGCCAGGCCACCTCTTTGGGCTTTGGATACCTCAACTTAAAGTGAAACAGGTGGAATGAATGGTCTCTTAAGATTCTTTAGGGACTCTAATACTATTATCTAACTCTAACTTATGGGTCAGAAACAAATATGACTCAAAATTTTATGTCTAAAGTACAACATGTGCTTGAGGAAAAATAGTTGTTTTGTTTTCCCATATTTAAAGATTAACTTTGTATTAGCAATCTATCAAAGATAGCAAGGTGGGACAGTGTACATTTAAGAATGTCTAATTGCAAAATTTTGATTGCCTTCTATGTCCCACTTAACTTTTATCATCCATTTTAGAAATTAAAGTACACCAGGAAATGAAAATCCAGAGACTCTTACAGTGTACTGGACAAAATTCTGATGGACAAACTCACCTTTCTGATAGCTAAACTCTGAAACAAAATTCAGAGACTCCCAAATAGTCTCTTTTTAGAGAGACCCTACACTTTAGCATATCTTAAATGTGCCTGGAGCAATCCTGATTTCAAAAGATTCAACAAGTTGCACATTAATTAAAAGCATCTGGCCTCTTGGCGGGAGGTGTTACCAGGGAACTTTCCCAATTAAGTGCTATAGTACAATCGTACTTCTATCCTTTGCTGATTATGCTCCTTATGATGATCCCTCACTGTTTGCCTGTAGGTTTTGCTGAAAAGACTGTAATCTGGTCTATGTGAAAAATTCAGTGAAATGAAGTTGGGCTATGATACTGTTGAAGAGTACAGAACAAACCAACATACTTCTTTATAGCCAGCTCCAAGACAAGTACAAATGGTAAGAAGCAGATTCATTCATTTATCAGACATGGAGGAATTATCAATAGGCAACTAGAAGTTCTATCACATTTTTAGGTCAAAAGCAGTATCACCTTATATCTCAGTCTATTTTCTACCAAAGAAAAATATTATTACTTCTCTTAGCATCTATAACTGGCGAGTAGGTGATGTTATCAACTTATTGGTACCTTCAGAATGTGCCTAGTGAAAAGCCTAAATAGTGTCAGTCTAAGATATAAGTCAACGTTAGGTAGACAAATGGAATTATTCCTTGGGAAAGGAAAACAGACATCACAGGATAAATAATTCAAAACAGAAAGTGGGATAGGGCAAACCGAAGGCAAAACCACTCCAAGTGGTAAGTTGCCCGGTCTACTAGTGCTTTGACTCACCCCTACCATCCACACAGAGGCTTTGGAGAAGTCAAACTATCAAAATCACTCCTATAAAGACTGAGACTATTGCCACTTTCTCAGTCCATTCGAGTTGTGAGCATGAAGCCCCTACTCAATTCACACAAGTACTATCACTCCTTAAGTTCAGGACAGCTTGGGCCAGTTTACCTGCATCCAGGACCTGTGTTGCATCAGGTTGTGGCTGACACCCTTTAGAGTCTGTGACTGTTGTACATGCAAAAGAATCAAAATCCACTGTGAGGTCTTGTACATTTCTCTCATTGGCATTATCAAAGCTGTTTTTGCCATGCAGCTGTTTAAGGTGTTTCCTCAAAACTGGTTTATGTGCAAAAACCATATCACAATAGTTACATTTATGGGGCTTATCTCCACTGTGAAGGTTAAGATGATCCTGTAAGGAACACTTCTGAGAAAAGGTTTTCCCACAGATTTTACACTGGAAGGGTTTAATTCCGGCATGCACACGCATGTGTCGATGAAGGTTGCCTTTCTGAGTAAAAGTCTTGCCGCAGAGTAGACACATAAAGAGTTTGTGCATTTTTAAATGGTTGGCGTAGTTCTCCAGGTGACGAAACACCCTGGTACACTTTGGGCATTGGTGATGCCACTGTAGACCTTTGTCTACACCTCGAATATTAGGCCCAAAGACATCTTTTGAGGCCATGATGATGTTATCACTGCCTGTATAAGAGAGGGCATAATTGTGGAGATGGTTTTGTTCTATTTCACTTACTCTGTTTTCCACAGTTGAATTTATCAGGGAGTGCTGGGGCTCTGATGAATGTAAAGCAGTGGGTTCAGAAGAAATAAACTGGTTCTGATCTTTTTTACTTCTAACCTCTGATACATCCCCAATAGATTCTACCTTAACAATCTGAATATCACTGTCCTCCATATCCATACTGTCTTCAGATGGATGAATACAAGGTGAGTCCTGCTTTGGGGAGCCTCTGGCATCTCCCTGCTGTTCTTTTGACTGGGGAGAAGCACTCTGTGGTTCACATCCCTCTTTACTATCCATTGGTTGTTTTGGCTTTATAAA